TTAGTGAGAGTGAAGACAAATCTCAGTGCTAATCTGTTAGAGGAACAATCAGAAAAAAGAACAACAACAAAAACTCTAAGAAAGACTAAGAAATCTGTGAGACACGTCAAGAGCAACAACGTACAAGTAATGAGAACTCCAGAACAGAGAGAAACATCCAAAAGCACAAAGAAAACTGTCAAAGCGTTGTGAGAAGAAAACTTCTCAGGCGTCTTGAAGGACAAGAAGACAGGCATTCAAGCAGTGGAGTGAGCCCCAAATAGGAGAGACCGTGTGTGGGAACCACCGAGACTTACCAAGATCAGAGTCTGTGAAACCAGACACAAGGGAAGAATCTGGAGAACATATTCAGGACGAACAACGTTTTCTACAAAGGAGACCAATCCCACTGAGCTCTAATTTCTCAGCAGAAACCACACAGGTAAGAAGGAAATGGAATAACAAATATAAAACTCTGAAAGAAAAAAAATTCCTAATTAAGAATCATATATCCAGAAAAACTGCCCCACAAATATGATGGTAAAATTAAGGCATTACCAGATAAACAGAAATGAAAGGAATGTGCAAATTAAAAACAAAAACAAAATACAGACCAATCTTATTAGAAATACTAAAGGAAGCTCTTCAGACAGAGAACCAACAATGGTAGACAACCACCTGATAATATCAATCATGGCAAAGGCACCCAGTAGTCAACCCAGATGTAGCAGTATCCTAAATAAAGCAGACCCACAAAATTAAAAATAGGGCACTAGAGATATCAACCTGTAATGAAGACAATTATAAAGTAAAAAGAGGAAATCATGCAGTCACAGAACTTCTAAAAGGCAAGTCGGTTTCAAGGATCAGGGTGAAGGGAGGCTGACAAAGAACGATAAGGGAAAGGGAAGGCCGTGGCAAGGGTGTGCGAGTTAAAGGCAACAGAAATAAAGATTGCTATGAATACAAGCCTGCAGTAGCAGTGATCTAGGAATAGTTGTGTGGACAGCCACTCAGTGGTCTATCCACGAATACAGAGACAGAGGATATGTGTACATAGATCATTGCCTTTTCCCAGCCTCCCAGAGATTTCTTGCACCATCTTCCAGCCCTCCTCAGAGCTTAGTGTAAAGAGCTTGGAGCATAGTGCATGCTGAGAATTATGCACTGTCATTAATTGTAGTCAGAAACACTGGGGGACTCCATGCCCAGGGATTCCCAGGCTTCCGTGAGGGTATAATTTATTGAACTATTGATGCCAACCAAGTGTTTCTAGGTTGACATTCAGCAGCTGCCTGGTAATACACCAGTGAAAGAAAAAGTAGAAGGGCCCGTCAGGAGATAAGAATCAAATCAGATTACAGGTCTCAGGTATGCGGCAGGAAAGCACGTAGACCACAGAAGCAGACACACTGGAGCCAGGATGGACGAGGTCCGGCAAAGCACAAGGCCTGGAAAATGGACCTCCCTCAAGGAGGGGAGGCGGATGCAGACATGGCTGGGGAGGCAGGGGAGAGACCCAGCGTTTCAGGAGTCTGCTGGCAGGTCTAGCTTCTCCAACAACAGAGAGGGGCGATGGCATGTCCAGATGAAGTGTCTCATCCATGAAGGGGCACGGTCCCTGAGGGTCCTGGACACTGTCCAGATCCAGCCCTCTGCCCAAGAGCAGGCGCCTGCCCTTCTTCTCGCTGCCCTTCCCAGAGCCTTCTCGAAGTGCTGCTCTCTCCTTGGCCTGGTTTCCCTGGGACCCTTCTCTGCAGCACGGCAGCGGCCTGGTGGGTAGCTCCAGAAAACGACGTTCTAGGCCTCTATTTCCTGTTACCGGAAACGGCGTGTCGTGTGGACGTCTTCAGGTCAAGCCCTAGCTTCTTCCTGTCTAACCTGACCTGAGTCTTCCAGAACTCAGGTAGGCCCGTTCTGAGACGTACCTGTGGGCCCTTCCAGCTATCATTTCAGAGGAGGTCAAGGGAGGGAATGACCCGTGGCCACCCACGGTGCAATGAAACACTGCCAGTCCTGCCCCAGGATAGCTGGCAGGTCAGACCGCTGTGCTTCATGCATGGCGTTTTCATCGGTGGGTTTCTAGAAGT